TGAAGCCATGGCAGAAGAACATAAATTGTGAAGATTTCATGCACATTCATTAAGTTCCCCAAATTAATACTTTTATAATTTCTTATGCCTGTCTTTACTGCAATCTCTGAACATAAACTGTGAAGATTTCATGGACATTTACCACTTTCCCAACAATACTCTTGTGATTTCCTATGCCTGTCTTGTCTTTAGTCTCTTAATCCCGTCATCTTTGTAAGGTGAGGATGAATGTCACCTCAGGACCCTGTGATGATTGTGTTAACTGCACAAATTGTTTAAACAATATGAAATCTGGGCACCCTGAAAAAAAGAACAGGATAACAGCGATGCTGAGGGAACAAGGGAGATAACCATTAGGTCTGGCTGCCTGAGAGCCAGGCAGAACAGAGCCATATTTCTCTTCTTTCAAAAGCAAACAGGAGAAATATCGCTGAATTATTTTTCTCAGCAAGGAACAGCCCTGAGAAAGAGAATGTGTGCCTTGGGGGAGGTCTCTAAAATGGCTGCTCTAGGGACATCTGTCTTTTACGGTTGTAGATAAGGGATGAAGTAAGTCCCAGTCTCCCATAGTGCTCCCAGGCTTATTAGGACGAGGAAATTCCCACCTAATAAATTTTGGTCAGACCGGTTGTCTGCTCTCAAATGCTGTCTCCTGATAAGATGTTATCAACGACAATGCGTGCCAAAACTTCATTAGCAATTTTAATTTCGCCCCAGTCCTGCGATCTCGCCCTGCCTCCATTTGCCTTGTGATATTTTATTGCCTTGTGAAACATGTGATTTCTGTGACCCACATCCTATTTGTACACTCTCTCCCCTTTTGCAAATCACTAATAAAAACTTGCTGGTTTTGCGGCTTGGGGTGCACCACAGAACCTGCCGACATGTGATGTCTCCCCCGGACACCCAGCTTTAAAATTTCTCTCTTTTGTACTCTTTCCTTTTATTTCTCAGACTGGCAAACACTTAGGGAAAATAGAAAAGGACTCACATCAAATTATTAGGGGCAGGTTCCCCCAATAATTCTGTACAGTGAGTACTTATGTAAATACAAAAGAATACTATAAATCAAGTGGTTTAAGAAAAAAAATAATACTTTTGAGAATAAGTGACCCATCACAGGCCATAATATTCCAATCAGAATTACCAACCCCATTTTTAAAAATCACTAGTATACTTCCCCAAGTAAACTTTTACATAGAACTGACTGCTACTTCTCAAATTTTTAAACCATGTTACCATAATCTAATTTCTTCTGTTCCAGTAACAGTGTCAAAACCATTTTTTAAAATCCTATTGAATTTAAATTATATAGAAAACACTTGAGTAAACAGGTAATCAAAACAGTGTTCAATCACTATAAAGCACTGGTCCTCAACCTCGGCTGCATATTAGAGTCAACTGAGAAACTTTTGAAACCCCAAAGTCCAAGCAGCATCCCAAACCAATGAAATCTAGAGTTGGGAACCAATGAAATCTAGAGCGGGGAACTATACACTGGTTTTAGAGCACTCCAGATGATTTTAATACGCAGGTAAGTCAGAAATCACTGCTATAACATGCTAAGTAAATTAAATATTGATGGTGGCCAGGCACAGTGGCTCACACCTGCAATCGCAGCACCTTGCGGGGCCAAGGTGGGTGGCTCATGAGGTCAGGAGATCGAGATCATCCTGACTAACACGGTGAAACCCTGTCTCTACTAAAAATACAAAAAAATTAGCCCGGCATGGTGGCGGGCGCCTGTAGTCCCAGCTACTCAGGAGGCTGAGGCAGCAGAACGGCGTGAACCCAGGAGGCAGAGCTTGCAGTGAGCCGAGATCGCGCTACTACTGCACTCCAGCCTGCGCAACAGAGTGAGACTCCATCTGGGGAAAAAAAAAAAATTTATGGCTAAATCCTGTGGAAGGTGTAAGCAGTTTTCTGAACTGTAGCCAATCTTCCTTAGCCAACTGTAAGTTAAATAACATTAATTTTTAACAGTTCCAGGTACTGAAACAGATAAGAATCATGTAAAAAAATACAACAATAAGGCTGTGGCTAGTGGATTACTTGAGGTCAGGAGTTTGAGACCAGCATGGCCAACATGGTGAAACCCCATCTCTACTAAAAATACAAAAATAGCCAGGTGTGGTGGTGGGTGCCTGTAATCCCAGCTACTTGGGAGGCT